AGCATTGCTAGTCTTAGCACCACACTACAACTTGTCAAAGAGACAAGTGAAGACGATCACTTGACCAATTGTTTGCTAAGCAATCGTGTTATCTCTCCTTCCGCCTTGGGCTAATCCTATATCCTCCTATTACATTTTTACTTGCTTATTCTAGCCACCTCACCCTCCTCATCCTTCTTCACACTTGTGCTGGTAATGTTGGTCAGAGCCATGTTGTTACGCGGTCCTCCTTCCCTAGGTCTAAACACAGTCTCTCTCTTGCCCCGTAAGATCCGTCTGCTGTCTCCTTGGTTCATGTATTTCACTCGACCCCTGCCACACCATCTGTGCTACTCGAGGTGTTATTTACCACCCTCTGCCTCTGGGAGACTAACACGAGGCTAAAGCCCCTGCATAATTCTCATTGTCAAGCCTTTGCTATATGGACCAGGTCTATGGTAAAACAGATCTACCGTCGGCCAACTAGCTCCAGTCTCCGTCGCGTCTATCCTGTTTCTAGCCCTGATAACAAGTCTATGAAAATTACTCAGGGGCTTTAGCTTCGAGTTAGTCTCTCAGACACAGAGCGTGGGAAATAATGCCTCGGTTAGCACAGATGGTGTGGTAGGGGTCAAGTAAAATACTTGAACCAAAGAGATAGCAGACAGATCCTACCGGGCAAGAGGAAGAATAGGATAAGATCTAGGGAAGGAGGATTGCGTAACAATATGGCAAACTCTGATCAGCATTTCCAGCATAAGGCTGAAGGGGGTGAAGAAGCCAGTGTGAAGTGTGGAGAGTTCTCATAAGCCGCAAAATGGTCACACCATTCTACATTTAATTAAGCAAGTAAAAATTGTGATAGTAAAGGCGTGATACAATGAAATAGGATTGATGATTAGCCCATGGAGAAGGAAGAGCTACCATAATTCATCAGAGTATGGACTTCACTTGCCTCTTTGCCGAGTTGTAGTGTAATGCTAAGAATGGCAAGACTCTTATGACGATGCCGGCGGAACGTCTGGGGATGCACCACATTCAAGGCCCGGCTGGAAATTATCATGCATACAATAGACTGGACTACGTTCGTTCCTATAAGTCTTCTACCATTAAGACGAAGTTGCAAAATTAAGGTCAAATAATTTTTAAATAAGTTTAGATTGGATCCGTCGGTTTTCGCTGTGATAATATACATGAGTATGATCGTCGGCGAATTCGGAAAGCACAAGGAGCCGAGGAAAAATCATGAATTGGAATTTAACTGGCAAGTTGAATTGAATAATTAATGTATGAAGCAAAGCTTTATTCCAAAAGAATAATAACGCAAGGCATGGAAATATTCTCAAAAATGAACAATATTGGCAGCAAAAGCAACGTACCAATATGACGAAAAACCTGTCTCGCTCCCCCCCTCTTAAACTTTGATGAATCAGATGGAATATCGCTTGATAGAGAAAAGTTTCTTGATTGAAGAGACGGGACGCAAGAAACATTGCTATGTACAGAGGGTGAGGAGCTGGACGATACGACTGATACTGTAGAGAGATTGTCTTCACATAATGTTGCAGAATTCGAATAAGGCGTTGATTGAAGGCTGCTAGCATTACGAGCAATTGAGGCAGTTTCTTCTGCTGTGTTCGTGTTAGACAAAACAGAAGGTGATGGCGGAAGTGTGAAGGAAGACGAGGAGCCTCTCAGAGCTAAAAAAGATAAGACAAAAATTATCTGGGAAGAAGAAAAATAGATCGGTATAGCAAGTTGTCGTCAACAAAAGTTTGATTAGTTTCGAGTCATATAAAATTTTGTATGAGAAAAGATAAAGAAAAGTTCCCTTAATCTTAAATTGTAAGAAACTTCCCGTTAATGATGTATTATTTCCTAGGTAAATTGAGTGAGAGGTAAGCTGATAGGTAATCTAAGGTTAAAAGATACAAAAATTAAGGTACATAAAAATTCCCATATATATGCCTATAGATATGTAAATTAAGAAAACATGCTTGATATAATATTTAAAATAAGTTAGATCAGCAAATAAATTCGTGGATAATAACCTAGTGTATATTTTATAGGAATCAATTGAATCAATTCAACGAGTCTGCATAATCATGAAAGGGATAAGCAAACCTAAATTTTGAAGTCGAAGCTGAGATTCACGGTCCTGCAGAAACATTTGCATACGTACATATGGCTCCCGCCCTCTGATCGTTAGATGATGCCAGATTTTGGGGCGCGTGAGAAGCTCGGACACATTAGAATGAGAATAACCTTATAATCAATTAAAAAAAGAAGTCCAGTTTGTATAAAACGAAAAACTATATTTTGAAGTTTAAAAAACAAAAAGAACAAATTTAGCCAATGCTAGTAATGCGAGAGGAGGGAGGAATTTACATGTAGAATATATAATGATAAAATAATATAGATAAAATTTTAAACTGATAAATGAATATCAAATCAAGCAGAAATGATATTTTTTTGTTAGATTGTTCTTAAACGAATTATAGAGCTAGAAAATTACAGGCATCAAAAAGCATATTTATTTTACTTATAGTGCTGATAAAAAATAATTTAAAAACACATAGCTGATATAAATAAAACACTAGTGAAAATCATTGTGTCTATTGTAACAGCTATCTACTAAATCGCTGAAAAATAAAAGTAAAAATGGTTCGGTGGATCCAAGTGATGGAGACAATTTTCAAGAGCCTTCACCTAAGCTATTAGATCAGGCGACTTAAAAAGCTTAGGGCAGAGGAATCCCTCATTATCAGATTACTTGAACTGTTCCTATTCTGCGACTGAAGGATAGCTAAGGAATGGAAATAAATACAAATGACATCATATAACAAGTATCTTTATACCACCGCATATGAGTATTGGCTAATGATCACAGCCTTCCAGAACTGCATTGGGTAGGTTTGACCCCATATTTGCCACTTATTTGAGGGGAAAGAAACCTCTCCTGCTTCCTCTCTCTAATATTCATGATATTTACCACTATCTGACCTGTAACTTGATACATTCTCAAACGTTTAGCCAGCATCTTATTTCCCACTACCCAAGACCCTAAAACTGTACCCTCATGCCTCAACCTCACCTAATATAGCTAATTTACCTATTTAAACGTCTTTGTTAGTTCATATGTAGCCTAAAAGGCGGATGCAAAAAATGTGACCACCTTTACTACAGCTTTGAGATTCCGTATACAGAGCATCTGAAATCCAATCAGAACTTACATTCATCCATCTACGCACATACGAATTATAAACCGCTTCTTTCTTGTCTTATTGCCTTATCTAAATGGGTGTCTATAATCATTAGAATCATTTCCCCCCCCTGAAAAATGTGCCCTGAGTTCAGTAATAATTATTAAACTAAATGTCTAAAATTTCAAAATGGGGCCTTCCTGTAGTCAGAAGCAAAATATGAAGTGAAAGACTACGGGTTAAGTAATAAGATTTAGAATCTGTCGTTGAAATGACTAGACTGAACCACAAAGCAGACTTGACCGGATGTAATGCAGAAATGTGGTTTATGAAGAATCCCCTAATAATTTCAAGTAAGTCCATTTTTCAATTCGAAGAAAAATTTGATCGACAGAGATCCGTGAATCATATCTAAGCGAATGAAATGTTTAAAAAGGTAGTTCACACAAAACAAACAAAAAATCATTTTTGAAAAGACGCGCAGAATACGTGAGTGATGAAAACTCGGTAAGAATGCATCAGGGTGCAGGAGAATGAGCCCAGGATAAAACGCATTGTAGTGACTTTATCCACAATCCGTTTGGCTGCATCTCATGCTTATCTCTCGACTCATGCAACACCAAGCGGAGCATGACTCACCGGCACTGTGTATCACGGGGACTAGTCACCACATCGAGCCTCTTATTTTAACCAATCAGAACATGGCACTAAAAGTACACAATAATAATTTAAGTCAGAAACTACCTCGCCCCATGGCTCCCCTTGGGCCTCGTTACCTTCTACAACCGAACACTGCCCTCTTTACAAACACCATACTATAGCATCGTCTGAGTTTTTCCATCGAGATCCTTGCCTGTAACTTTCCTTCTAATATACAAGGCACTCATTGACTCGTTCTCTTGTTCCTCTATACAGGGCACTCTGTGACTCATTTTATTGTTCTTCTATACAGGACTGTGATATTCTATACGGTAGCGAAAAGCCGAGCACATATTTATAGTAAATATTGTTATGATTCACTAAAGTATAATCGACCATCATTCTGAGAGAATATCTATATTTGATATAGAAACTAATAAGCATTATTTTGTTAATATCATATGCAATCGATGACGAAGAATTACTTGTCTTAAGTTTAGTTTAGTTATTCGCTTTCATTGGAATTAGGGAGATGGAAACCCAATAAAATATATAGTAAATATGAAAAACAAAATGTTGTAGCCTTTAATTGATCACAGTCTGGTAGGGATGGTTATGCTTCACTGAATTCATTCGTGACTACACATTCTTATGCGACACTGGAGAAAACGAGAGCACAGAATTGTATAGACGAATGGGCCATATGAAGTGGGGTTGTGAAAAAGAGATGCAGGACTAGAGGGTTAGACAAAAAATAGAGGCGAAGAGTAATACCAAAACGGTCGAAGAGAAAAGTGGTCACTTGTCACTTGTCACTTTGATATGTTGTAACTCTGCGCTAACCCCTCAATGACGATGCTGACTATGTCGGCAAAACGTTTGGGAATTTGCCAAATCAATGGCCAGATGCTAGAAACCACAAATACAATGGAAGAGGACACAGGACTAGGTACGTTCCACAAGGTCCCCCTGACGCTCCGACCAAGTTGCGAAAACGAGGTGAACCAAAAATTAATAAAATATATTTTATTTTAGATATAAAGACCAAGAAGTTATGTGCTCTGTTGTGGTCGCAGTTTCCTTTCGATGTATAGAAGTGGTCTGACCTCGCCATCACAACAAGGTCATGCTGTCAGGACGACCTAATTAGACGCCTCTTGTCCCAAGTCCTCTGCTATTTCAGGTCAGAATCGGATCAGCAAATTCTGAGGTGGACGGAGCAATGTAAACACGCATATGTGATTGCGCCCCGATAAACTCGCCAAAATGGCACATATCTAAGGGAATTAAATATAAGTTAAAAATTGTAATAGAGCAGGAGAGAAAATGGTAAGGAATAGGTAGATGTGCCAGGACAGAATGAAGAAATATAGAAAAATCGTTCGGGAGAAGGTTGGCCAAAGAATTAATTTCCTTTGTCTCTTTCGACAAGTTGTAGCTTAATGCTGAAAATGGTTGTACAACTAGATCACCCTGACATCACCAACAAGTTGCCCACTAAATAAAAGCAAGCTAAACGAGTAGGTTATATGGATAACCCTCTTCTTCCATATATCAGAGCTAATCTAAAAAACAGGGCTTTTCTTTCTTTTGCGATAGTTCACAAATAAAGTAAAATTAAAGCAAGTAGAAGTTGATCAAAATGTTTGCAAGTTAAGAAATGTTGTCACTGTCCATCTAGGTTAACTTTATTAGCACTATTTCTCGTATAAACTCGACATTAGCTCTAATCTTTTCCCCACAGGTAGTTCCTTCGATTTTAGATTTAAAGAAAGTTTATAATTGATCCTAATTAGACATCTAATGTTTAAGCGACAAAATCGTTTATTTCGTCAAGAATGCTTCAATCGTATTTTGAGGCCCTCCAGTCGATTGATATCCCAAGTCTTCCAAGTCGATTGGGGCTGGACGCGAACCGATTCTATCTCTCGAATACTTATACTTCGCCCTGAAAGTGTACGATTTTCTGATCAATAAAGACAGAACTCATGAGTGTATTTAAAATTTGGCTAACAATATGAAAAAATACAAAATGAACTGTACTATTCATTTTGGTATCAATATAGAAATAGGTAATTATAAAAGGCATGCGAACTAACCTAAAATAGCCTTATCAAACAGTTGATGATCTACGCCAAGATGTGCAAGTAACTCCCTGGTTTGAAAAGCCAATGATTGAGTGGACAGGGAATGGTGACGAGCCAGAAGCTTCAATGGCAATATCAGTAGAGGCGGAGGAGATGAAAGCGATTGTTGAAGTTGCTCTAATTGCGCAGGCTGTGGTTCCAGTTGAGGGTGTTGTTGTGACAAGCCACTATTAGACGGTAAATCCACATGAGCAACGGACCCAGCTGTTAGAGGGAGATGGCTGATTACGGAACAAGAGTGAGAGTTGGCCAGAGTTAAAGGAGGGGAAGAAACGGATAATGACGTAGATTTTGGCTCCATTAAACTCGAACGATCGATGCAACCCAGTTCTATAGGAGTTGAACTAGTGGGAGATTGTACGTTTGATCTAGAAGAGTGTTGTGGACTGGCAGGTGAATCGACTCGAGGAAGCAGAATACGTTTGTGTAGAGAGCTCCGATCAAGCAAGAACGCTGACTTTGGAGAAGTGGTGGGTGTAATTAATGTCATGGTAACAGAAGTTGTGGCCTTTGTAGAGGTTAATACCGTCGATACTGACGAGGAGAGTGATGATGGTGTCGATGGAAGAGACTTTGGGGTCATTTTTTGCGGCGTAAGTGAGGCAGATTCTATACCAGCACGGGAAGCAGAGGCTAAAAGGCACAAAGCCTGCCGTAGAGCTAGACTGTGTCGCGTTGGCGGGGTGGCTTTATCAGCCGTATCTGGGTGAGGGGAAGATGAGTCACCAACTAGTGAATTAGATGAGCTTTCAGGTTTTAACACTTGCTCTGAACCTACAATGCAAGTGGGCTCAGAAACCTTGAGCGAGGAGAAATAAGGGCTAGTTGAAACGAGACTTTCAAAAGGAGGTGATGGTGAGCAGATCACGGATGGCTGGACAGAAGAGGACTTTAAGCCCATGGTGTCAGACGAGATCGAAGATGAAGATGGCATTACCTTTGAAAATGTTTGAAAGTCTGAAAATTCTGAAGCCTGACCAAGATCAGATAGCTGGGGCGAGGAGCGTGAAGAGCGAAGACGAGGCGGTGGATATGATGAGTCAGATACGCGGGCGTTAGGAAGGGGCTTGGGAACCAAGCGTGGCAGTGTCGATGCAAAGGTTTAGGAATAAGGATATGAAGACACAAAGTAAGCAGTCAAGATTAATGAAAACAAAATGCTTTAATATCGAGATAACTTTCTCGTTAGTTAATTAGTAAATGGAAGGCAGTTAAGTAAATATGGTGATTGAAAGGCATCAACGCCATTTTTTATAACTAGTATTCGTTTGCTTAAATGGTTAGCTAATTCGTTATTTAATCAGATTAGTTCATCTTTCCCGTTATGTTTTCTTCGAAATTAAATAATGATAAACCAATTCCATTGTCAAAAACCACTATATCTAAGAGTCACAATATAGTAGAAAATTCTAAATAACTGAGAACCTCTAGCATGTTGCTTAAATCATTGCTTCGCCTGAATAATCGTCAGGGCGTAGAATGATAGCGTCACTGTTTATTTGTCATCGTTTGTCTCTTGGCAGGGTATCTATCAAAATGCGTCCTAGTAAAATTGATTCCATTCGTATTCCCAACTAATTATTTAGACCCTCTTTTAAAGGACAAGGCAAACAAGAGATTAGGAAACAAGACGCAGCACGATAAAGTTGACAAATTAGATTGCTCGGGAGTTTATCTCATTAAATGCGACAACTATAATCAGTAATATATTGATGAAGCAAGAAAAATCAGTCTACGAATCAAGGAACACCGAAGACAGGAGAAACATTGATAGAGATCCAACCTAGCGGAACACATTGCAACGGGACACGAAATTGACTGGAAATAGACAGAAAGTCTGGACGCATATGTTAAAAAGAGAAGAAAACGCAAGATACGAGATGCCATCGATATCCTGATTAAAGGAAAGGGGAGATTAGTAAAAACTTTGCATATTGCCTAAGCAAACTCGGAGGAGATAAGGGTAAAATAGCAAAATCAGCAAAAAGAAGATGGCTAGATCAAGGAAATATTTTCAATTTGAGGAAGATAAATCGCAAGGGAAGAATCGGAAACCATGAGACGTCTACAGTTGGCCTAATCAAAGTGAGTTGAACAACTATAATTTATGAGATTTGGCACACAAGAGACGAGGGCATGGGAAAGTCATAGACTTGTCATTATGGATAATAGAGCGGGAGATGTAGTGGAAAACATAGTTAGCTATTAGAAGATGAGTTTGATCTTAGGCATGGTCCGTGAAGTGAAGACATTACCACGAAATATACTCGGTGCAGATGCAAAACAGTGATAAGGAAATCTGCAGCGTCAAATTTGGCTTCCATGCCACTAGAGAATACAGACTTTGGGGGCATGTTAAGTGAAGCTGGTGTATATGATCTATCAAAGGCTTGAGGCAGAATATAGAACATACTGCCTCGAGTGGCACGAATACGGTGGCAGCGATCGAGTGAAATTACTTAGCTAGGCAGATAAGAGACAGATACTAAAGAACAAGAGGGAGACTCGTGATAGGACCTGGAAGAAGATTCCTGATTAAACGGTAGACTTGGATCAACACACCTAGAACAATGGAGGATATAAAGGAACCAGTGGAAAACGCAAAAAGGTCTCACTAAATCCACTCAAACGGGCACATATCGACTAAGCTTATATAGTAAATAGCAAGAGTAACTGGGCATCGAGGAATCTTCTGAGATAACATTGTTGAGGAGAACTTCGTTTCGTATGATAGTGCATGAAGAAGACATTCGTAGATTGATCTCACGAGAAGACGACGGCTGAATTGCGTTGTACTGCCACCGATTGGCGTTAATACGTCGTTCAGGTTGACGCACTCCAAGAGAGATCCTCTCAAGCTTCAGGTGAAAACGGGATGGGCTTCCAACCACCATGTGATGAACATCATCAGAGCTCATCTCTCAAGTTAACACTATGTCAAGGTGTGACCTTGGTTTCA